AATAAATGGTAAAAAGCATACATTGTTGGTGGATACTGGAGCGACCAGAACCATTATACGCCCGACAGTTATAAACAGCCGTAAGAAACTGTTACCAACGAGGTTGCGACTTCGGACCGCTACAGGTGAAAATGCCAACATTCATGGAGAAATCCAGGTACAATTAGGAATTGGAACAGAAAAGTTCGTCCATACTGTTATAGTTGCTGACATCGAAGAGGATGTTATATTAGGAATGGACGTAATGAATACACATGGATTCCAATTGGATTTTAAGAATAAGGTAATCAAAGTTGGTAACGAGGAGGTATTTCTCCATCCACATGATGACAACACTATGCAAGCAGCCGTTAAAGAAGATACAGTCGTGCCTGCGAGAAGTGAAACGATAATAGTAGCGCGGCTACAGGGAATTGTGGACGAAGGAACACCTGTTATGATGGAGCCTTGGAATCATGACGACGAAGTTGGCCGTGGAATCATAATTGGAAAAGAATTAGTGACTTCGGCTAAAGAAATTCCTGTGAGACTTGTTAATGTCAATGACTACCCAGTGACCATCAAGAAAGAGACAAAAGTAGGAACTTGTGTACCTGTCACATCCATAATCCGTCAGACGACAACGTCTGATAATTCCAACGATAAATTTGATCAAATGGTTGCGGTTGCTGGACAGTCTCTGAATCAGATTGAGAAAAGGAAATTAAGGGAATTTCTTCGGCAGTATCGTGATATTTTCGTACCGAAAGGAGGAAAGACGGGAAGAACTACCGTTGTTAAGCATAAAATTGATACTGGTAATGCTAAGCCAATTCGTCAAACAGCTCGACGATTACCACAGGCGAAAAGAGAGGAAGCTGAAACGATTGTTCAGGAAATGAAGAAAGACGGGGTGATAGAACCTTCTACGAGCCCATGGGTCTCTCCGGTGGTCCTGGTTAAGAAGAAAGACGGAACAACGAGGTTCTGTGTGGATTACCGTTTGCTGAACAACGTTACCAAGAAAGATAGTTATCCTCTGCCTCGGATCGATGACACATTAGACACATTGGCTGGAAGTAAATTATTTTCTACTTTGGATTTGAAGTCTGGATACTGGCAGGTAGAAATGGACCCGATAGATAAAGAAAAGACAGCCTTCACCACAGGATCTGGATTATGGCAATTCAACGTTATGCCATTTGGACTTTGTAACGCTCCTGCGACATTTGAGAGGCTTATGGAAAATGTGTTGAGAGGGTTATCTTGGAAAACATGCCTAGTTTATCTAGACGACATAATCGTCTTGGGGGAGACATTTGAAGACCATCTGAAGAATTTAGAAAACGTTTTTAATCGACTTAAAGCTGCCCAATTGATGTTAAACCCCAAGAAGTGCCAGCTATTTCAAGGTAAAGTCAATTATCTGGGTCATATAGTCAGTAAAGAAGGAGTGGCCGTGGATAAAGGAAAAATCGATTCTATTAAGGAATGGCCAAAACCAACTGACAAACATCAAGTGAGAAGTTTTCTGGGACTGTGTACTTACTACCGGAGGTTTATTAAGAAGTTTGCAGATATCGCTAAACCATTAACGCGACTTACAGAGGAAGCAAGAGAATACCGCTGGGATGTAGACTGCCAGAATGCCTTTGAAACCTTAAAAAAGCATTTAATCACAGCACCAATTTTAGGGTATCCACTGCCAGAAGGAGAGTTCATCTTAGATACAGATGCAAGTAATGTGGGAATTGGAGGAGTGCTGTCTCAGATTCAAGGAGGACAGGAAAGAGTCCTTGGATATTTTAGTAAAGTCCTCTCAAAACCTGAGCGAAATTATTGCGTCACGAGAAGAGAACTTCTGGCAGTAGTGAAATCAGTAGAGCACTTCTATCAATACCTCTATGGAAGGAAGTTTTTAATCCGAACCGACCATGCCGCCCTTAAGTGGTTGATGCAGTTTAAGAATCCAGAGGGTCAGATAGCCAGGTGGATCGAACGACTCCAAGAATATGATTTTAAGATTGAGCACCGGGCCGGAGTTAGCCACCGAAACGCCGATTCTCTTTCCAGAAGGCCATGCCCAGCAGAGTGTTCTCACTGCAACAAAACGGAATCCAAGGAAGCAGCAGTGCTAAGAACGACGGTGGTCCACGACGACTGGACGCCTACCAAGATCAGGGAAGAACAAGAGAGAGATCCAGTTATACAGAAAATCCGAAAATGGAAAGAGGAAAACCGTCGACCACCTTGGCAAGAAATATCGAACCTAGGCTCAATAGTTAAGACGTATTGGGCCCAGTGGGACTCATTTATCATGGAAGATGGCTTGCTCAAACGAGTCCTGGAAAATGATGACGGTTCAGAGAAGAGAAGACAGTTGGTGATTCCAAACAGCAGAATAGCCGAAGTACTTCGTCAGTTACACGACAGTCCATCAGGAGGGCATTTTGGTGTGAAAAAGACCCTTCAGCGAATTCGGGAACGGTTTTATTGGATGAACAGTTCCGACGATGTAAAAGACTGGTGTAAGAAATGTACTATTTGTGCTACGAGTAACGGGCCTTATCGAAAAAGGAGAGCTCCTATGAGACAATATAATGTTGGAAGCCCGTTTGAAAGAATAGCTTTGGACATTGCTGGGCCGTTTCCAGAAAGTGATAATGGAGGCAAGTACATGTTGGTAGTAATGGATTACTTCACTAAGTGGGTTGAGATTTACGCACTTCCAGACCAGAAGGCGGCCACCGTTGCAGATAAGTTGATCCAAGAATATATCAGCCGATTTGGAGTGCCTTTGGAGATCCATAGTGACCAAGGCAGGAACTTCGAAAGCGATTTATTCCAAGGAATATGTGATAGACTAGGTATGAAGAAAACAAGGACTACGGCTTATCATCCGCAATCGGATGGTATGGTAGAACGAATGAATAGAACAGTTGGCAAGTATTTGACAAAGATGGTGTCCGATCATCAGCGAGACTGGGACCAATATCTCCCGTTCTTCACAATGGCCTACAGATCTGCTGTTAATGAATCAACAGGCCAGACACCAGCCAAAGTCCTATTCGGACGCGAGATGCGACTACCTTGTGATCTAGAGTTTGGGTGTCGACCTGGAGAAGATGTAGCAGGTGAAGATTATGTGATCGAATTACGAAGAAGAATGGACGATGTACACGAGTTGGTCCGTTCCCATCTCCAGATCGCTAGTGACCGAATGAAGAAACGGTACGATACGCAAGCCGAGAAGGGGTGTTTTAAGAAGAACGATAAAGTCTGGCTTTATAACCCCAAAAAGCGAAAAGGTTGTTCTCCCAAATTGCAGCAGTTTTGGGAAGGTCCATACCTCATTATGGAGAAGATCAATGATGTTATTTACCGAATAAGCAAGATTCCGAGAGGAAAGCCGATGATAGTACACCATAACCGGTTGGCGTCTTTCGAGGGTGACCACGACGTAGATGAAGAAGTGGAAGTAAACCAAGTCCAAGATGTGTCTGACCTCACGTTTGAGGAATTCATGGGTGCCTATGGAGGTACCGGTAAAGCAAGATATGGTGTTACCACTGAAGAAAGGCAAGATCTACTCGCGCTCCCCGATGACTACTCACTGGCCCTTACCATCCCGGCCAGTATCAAAGATGCACCAGGGTTGGCATCCGTCTTTCGAAGGAAGTTTGGTCGAGTTGCAGAACTTCAATGCCAAGTGCCAGCTCCTGGTAAAACCTTGAAACTTCAAGATGCATCACGTTACCTTTTCTACCTGGTAACAAAAGACACTGCCCGTGACCAACCTACCTACCGAGATGTATGGGAAGCCTTACTTCAGTTGAGAGAGCACGTACTAGAGTCCGACGTGCAAAAGTTAGCCATGCCAAAGTTGGAGTGCCGCCAATTAGATTGGAGGGTTATCCGAAATATGGTGGAGGAGATGTTTAAAGACACCGAAGTCCAGGTGTTAGTCTGTTGCAATCCGCATAGTTACTGGTGCGGAGAGAAAACCGTCCCTTGTCATTTCTATACAACCGGAAGTTGTAAAAGAGGGTCCAGTTGCCGATATCAGCATGTCGTTCCAGTTCCAGTCCCGACAAGGTTCCAGGAGGAACCATCTTTTAAGAGGGGGGCAATGTTACGATTTTAAATGTTATGGCGTATAGAACTGTAAATATTTTATGACTAATTCTTTTGTATTGATTCTCGTAATTTCTAGGTCAAAAAAATCTACCTGACAAACAACAATCGAATGTTCTGGGGGCGACAAGCCGATAAAGGAACATGTTTTGAGACCAGTCGCCGCCGTGTCTACGTCGAGATCGAGAACGGCATCGTATTTTCTACAAACATTCTGTTACAAGCTGGTTTCATATAAATACCGGAAGAATTTCATTGAGGAGTTAGTCATAAGAAGATCGGTAAACGCGGTTTACTTGTACGAAACGTGAAATACATACATTTGTAAAGTTATTTAATAAATTAGTAATTAGCTATCGTGAGTTTTAATAAATTAGATTATAGACAATAAATTAGAATAAAGACAAATAAATTCGAACTATATAAATATATCACATTATTTTCAATTTTACTATCAATTGGTAAACAGTTTTTAGTAGCACAGTTCATGATTATAATTTTCTAAAACCTCCACGAAAAGTTATTAATAATGTTTTTCTTTTATTGACAATGGACTAATAATATTTTTTGCCTTGTTCAAATATATCGGCAAAGCTAATGTTTAATCAACATTTACAGTTTATGTAAGTTTTCGTCAAGTTGTTTTCTTACCTTTGAACACGAGTACATCCTTATTCTGATACCAATTGAACAACTGCTACTTTTTGTACCAACTGCTTCCAGAAAAGTTGTAGAAACTCAAATTGCGGAATCATCAGAAATCCGAAATAGCACCAGTAATTGAATACAAAATGGTTTTAAAAACAAATTATTTAGAAATAAATTAGGCTTTAAAAACAAATTAAAATGAAATTATTTTTGCAGAAATATATTTAATATAATAACTAATTTAACTTAACTAAAATAATTTCTAGCCTAATATAAGTTAATTTTGTTTGTAACAATTGTTATACTCTTATTGGAGCAATACAGTTAATCAAGATTAGAAAGATCAAACTGAACTTGATTTTAGAAAATGTATCAAGCTGTACATCGCCATGTATATATTAATAATATATCCGGTACTCCAACATAGAGCTCTAGCTGGTTGAGGAATAGGAACAACAGCATATACGATAGTATGTAAATATCTCGTGACTACATACACTACAAATAGTACCTTGGCTGCTGTTTCTCCAGGATTTGCAAAAGTGTATATTAACCCAGCGACGAAAAAGAGTGGGATATTTTCCAGATCATTTAAATGTGCCCTAAAAATAATTAAATAATATGAATCTTCTTCAATAGTCAAAATCAAAACCAAGCAATAAAAACAATTTCAAGCTACTTTGATATATATATATATATATATATATATATATATATATATAATATATATATATATATATATATATATAAATTATGTAAGTATCGAATTTTTAATTAATTATAAAAATTTAAAAAAATTATTCATCACATTTGTAGCTCCCTGATGAAGGACATAAGCAATGTCCGAAAGCTTGGATTAAAAATTTAAAAGAGTACACCTTTCATTTTTATTGCTGCATACCCAATATTTCAAGTTTACTTCCTTACGCGGTCAGCAAATCCTTCTGGTTCACTATATATATATATATTATATATATATATATATATATATATATATATATATATATATATATATGTATGTTGTCCGATGCCTAATTTCCACGAATTTCTATCATTCCATTGTTCTTCGGTCAAGTCTCGGGAGCTCATTGCCTTTGTTATTCCCTCCTTCCATGTTCTTTTTGGTCTTCCTCGTTTCTTACGATATTGTGGTATCCATTTCATGGCGATTTTTGGGAGTCTTGTTTCTGGCATTCCTTGAACATGGCCATACCATATAAGTTGTTTCCTTTCTATGTCTGTTGCCAGTGATCCATCTACCCCATCCGATTCCTTATTTCATCGTTTCTAATTCTGTCTGCCCTAGATATTCGAAGTGATCGTCTAAATACATCCATTTCTGTTGCTTCGAGTTTTCTTTTATTGCTTTCTGTTAGTCTCCATGTCTCTGTACCATAGGTTAAGGTGGTTTTTATGAGAGATTCATATATATTGTATTTTCGTCTTTTACCAATTTCTGAGCTCCAAAGAACTCCGTTAAGGCATCCAATTGTTCTACGGGCCTGGGTTATTCGTTTTCTAATTTTCCTATTGTCTGTGCCTGTGATGTCGAAATCAATTCCTAGGTAGGTATATTCAGTGCAGAATGCAATTTCGGTTGTGTCCATCTGAATGTTGGATAGTTCTGTGCCTATTGGGAGATATTTTGTTTTTTGTGTATTGAGTTCTAAACATCACTTTTTGTATTCTTCCTGTAGTTTTCTGGCCATATATGTCAGGTCTTCTTATCGTTGGCTATAAGGACTTGATCGTCTGCAAACTGTAGGGTATATAGGCAAGTTTCTCCCAGGTCAATGCCATTCCTCTACACTTTCTATTCCACTGATACAGTGCTTTCGCCACGTAGATTTTAAATAATGTGAAATAAAATTTTTTTGAAAGTCTATTTCCAATTTTTATTCTCGACGTTGATCCTTCATAAAGCTGTTTAAGGGCGTTAATTACTGTGTGGTTGGTGTTTGTTTCCAGCAAAACTTTCCATAGCTTTTCAGCGGGTACAGTATCATAGGCCTTCTGAAGGTCTATAAACATAAGGTGGGTTTCTTGGTTAGTACTTGATCTTTTTCCTATTATTTGTTTCAAAACAAACACATTATCGGTGCAGCTCCTTCCGGCTCTTAAGCCAGATTGTTCCTCTTCTTATCGTTCCTTATATTCTTGTTCGATAATGTCTCGAAGTATCCTTCCATATAGGCGACTTAAGGTACTGGTTACTGATATACCTCGATAGTTTGAGCAGTCCAGTTTACTTCCCTTCTTATGTAAAGATGATATGAAGGATACTTTCCACTCATGCGGGACTGGTGCACCGTTTAGATATTCGTTTATACACCAGGTTAATCGTTCAAACAGTTTGTTAGTGCCGCATTTGATTAGTTCTGCTGGAATTCCCTCCGGACCTGCAGCTCGACCATTTTTTAGTAGTTGTATCGTTTTCATGACAGCCCTCTCATCGATGCGATGTTTATCGTTTCTTCCTGTATGTGTATTTCAGTTGGAGACATTTCTCTATATTCCTCTCTGTTTTCTGTTAATAGATTTTCGTAATGTCGGATCCAGTTCTCTGTTGTTATTAATTGTATGTTTGTTTCTCTTTTTTCATTTGATTTAACTTTTGTCAGGAATTTTGATTTTTAAGCTAATATTTGTCTCCACCGAAAACGTTTTTTAATCTCTGAAAAAGTTATACTTTATATTAAAATTATTGATATCACAATTTTTATGACCTAGCTGATATTCCCCAACATAATGTAACTAGTGACGAAGAATTTTAAAATAATTTATATAAAATACTAATAATTAGAAATACTAAGTTACTTGAAAAGAATGAAAATTTTTAATAGACATCAAATGTCTCATTCTCAATTATTTTAGTTAAGAGTTAGGTTAGGTTAGGTTTTTGATAGGTTCTTTGTATAATAATTAATTCCATTCTCTTTATGTTGAATCAATTTTCTTTCGAGTATAAGAGGTCCTGATATAGTCCCTTATAAGAACGTAATGGTACTTTAGATTTTGTATCTTAGTAGACCTAATTCTTCCATATCTTTTAGCTTTTTAATTGCTTAAAAGAAGTACCGAAACATACAGATTACATGATGGCTGCTTTGTTAGAAATTTGAAAGCAATCGTCATTTTTTTGTAAGAGAGTAATAAAGATATAAGAGAGTAATAAAATTTGTTAAACTTCTTACAAACAGCTTTAGTTCAAAGTTAACCTTTCCCTCAATATAGTATATTTATTTTCCTTTTTGCTTCCCTTTTTAAAAATACCGATATGTTTATGTATTTAGGTTAAAAATGAAAATAAGTCGGTTCTTGTTAAGAGGGAATTCTTTAAGTGGGAATGAGTCTGTTCTTGGGGATAATTTGTCCGATTTGACTAGAGAGGATTACTTTTCGTTGGGTAGTCTAAGAGATTAGACTGACTTTTTGTTACGTCGTCTAAGAGTTTGGACGTATTTCTTTTTCTCTGAATTTATCTATATAAGTGTGTATATACACTTCTATTGTATCTCAAGTAGTTTGATCTAACACCAGAGAAGATCAAATATACCTTAAATTAACTTCAGTGTTTGATACTAAAGCTAAGCACAGTTTAAATTCAGTGCGATTTAAGAAGCAATATCATCAAGAGTTACTGTAAGTGGTGTTACTATTAATATTAGCTTAAATTATCTCCAAAGTAGTCTACGGGCTATTTTCAACATTTTCCTGATCGGTGGTTAAAGCTAACTACCGATGGAGTAAATTCCTCTAAGGAACAACGATTTCATCAATTACACTTTTTAGAACTTTCATATCTTTTCATTAACAAATATTAGTTACAAACATTCATCAAATAAATAAAAGTTGTGCGAGTAGCTTCTTGTAAACCAAGTGCGGGTTGATCCTTATTTTAATTTTGGTAGAACCCATTTTTATAATCTTGTCTCTGTACTTCTGCAACTTTATTGTAACTTAATTTAGTATTATTTTGTATTTGCCATAAATTATTACTTTTAAAGCCAATTATCTCGAGATACGCCTAAAACATTAAGGAGAGGTATTTATATTATGATCTACTCTTTTGGGTATTTTTTAAAAACATCAAGTTCTCGTTAATGTTAAATTTTATTTATATGTGCATGTGTCTATGTCTATTGTATTGAACAATTTTTAAATCTTTTTACATGTCACGGTGGATTTTTTTGTATTTCTTGTTTTTGTAATTCACCCGTCTGGTGATTCAGCTGTTGAATATATTTTGTTTTGTGTACTTACTGAATTTTATTTATCTACTCATAAAATAACAATCAAAAAGTTGAAAAATAGAAAATCTCCTGGCGCAGGAGATTTTCTAAAACTAGACTAAAGTATAGATTGCTTAAACAAATACAATAGAGATATTTGCAGTATTTTGGACACATTGCTAGAAGAACAGGTACGATGGAAAAACTGATAGTCGGGGGTAGAGTTGAAGGAAAGAGACATAGGGAAAGATCCCCAAGCCATTGGGCAGATCAAACAAAAATATTGATTAATCAAGGGTTACATGAAGCCGAACAACTAGCCGAGGAAAGAGAAGGATGGGGAAAATCGGGAAAAAACTGTAAAGACTGAGGAGGAGGACTCATAATAAGTTTCGTGATAATAGAGTATCTCTGAATATTTGGTAATAAAAATATTTAACTATCACGATATCTTAGACCAGGAGAAATGTCAGGCTGTATATGTTTGTAGATAAGTAGGTGGACGAATTTCACCGAACATGTTATTTATTAATTGTTTATGTAGTGTGTTGACTACCTTTATTTAATAATTAACTGTTAACATATTTTCTTGTATTTGGTCCCAGAACCTAATTAGCTCTCCTTATATCCTTTCGTTTCTAAGGTTTCTTAATTTTCCTCTTGTAACCCCACAAAGTTAAGTGGCGCTCTTTTTCTGATCTTCTCTTATCTTTAGTAATTTTACCTATATCTCTTGTTATCTATTTCTCTGTCTTTTCTAATCTATCTTATCTTTTCTTTATTATTTATTCTGTTGGATCCATTCCCGGTTCCAAAAGCTAGTTTCGAAACTCCGATTCGCTCTCTACCAACCATTTAGCTCGCGTTCGACGTGTCTCCATTGGTGACCTTCCTAGCACCATCCCAAAAAGGTTTCCGAGATGACAAGCTCCATTTAGATTTGTTTTATCGTCAAAAAAATATCGTATGGTAAAAACCTTAAGACAGTGAGTTATATAAACCACTCATTCTATTTTCCGGGTAGCATTATATCCTTTATTATATCATTTATATCCTGTTACAATAGGTAGAGCACTTTCGAGAGTTGCTGGAAGGGGAACCTACTACTACTAACAATATAGAGCTGGAATACCGAAATGAGGAACTCGTGGTACCCCCTTCGGTGATGAAGTGAAAATATCTATAGAAAAACTAAGGTACCACAAATCCCCACGTAGCGATGGCATCCCAGCAGAGTTATTTAAGCTCGGTGGAGAGCAGCTCACCAAGGTGATGCGCGAAATTGTTTATTAAATTTGGTCTGAGGAGCAAATGCCTGAAGAATCGAGCTTAGGCTTAATTTGCCCGTTACACAAAAAGGGAAACCAACT